TATTTCTAATTTTTTTTTTTTTATGGAGTTTTTCGCCATTCGTTTCTAATATCACAAGACAACTCCCGTGATTGTTCTGCTTAACCTTTTGATGTTTTATGTTAGATTTTCCCAAATTTGAGATACAACATGAACATCAACACTTTTTAGTTTTTATGATGCACATTCTTTATGTTCGCTCTGCTCAAACTGAACCAATTATCTTAGCCGAATAAGGACACGACTATACTACGATAAACCTTCCCTTGCCCAGAAGCAATGAATTCTTTAGTGTCACAACCCAACCACCATGCACAAGACACCGTTGTACTCGGTTGACGATATAAAAGTTTCGAGTGTTTGTCACAAGTAACCAATTGTTTAAACACTCTCTTTTCTTCTTCGGGTTGGTGCACTCCGTATGTTCGCCAATTGACAAGCGCAATATAATCGTATGTAAACATATATTCTGATAATAAATAAACTTATAAATATATATTTATATATATATATATATAACTTAACCTTTCGGGGACACAATTAACCCTGGCGCCAGAAAGAAGGTTTTTTCTGTAAGTTGTTTTAATATCATAAGCTATTACGCTTCAACAATCTTCAGATTTGGCCCAAAATTTTTCAAATAATGCCCTAGAAATAAGATAGAGCACTTTTGTGCTAGTTGTTTAGAATCGTGCTCAGACTGAATCAATATTCGAAACAATCTGCTGCGATTCATGGTTCCATCAGGCTCGCCTGATGTTCTGCTCTATTTTTGCTCAGATTGGTGACGCACTATGAATAGGATATAGCACTGCCACGATGGTTATTTCCCTAGTATTATGCTCAAATTAATTCAATTATTTCTCAGTGTTCAAAAGTACATGGGGTGATCAATCGTTCTTTCAGTTTTGACTGGGATCCTGCTCTTTTTCTGATTAATATTGCACTACGAATAAGATATAACAGTTTTAGGCTGACTGGTTATCTGCAAACTTTCTTAGTATTTATGACGGCTTGACAATATTTCCTTTGCTTTTGATAAGCCTACGTATGCAGCTTAAGCATTGACTATGTGTCTCTCTATATAATCAATGGCATATTGATTAAGTATAAGTTAAACCCCCACCTATGTATACAACCTTAGCCTCGTATAAAAATATGTATGCAGATCTTTGATCATTCAACTTCATATATAATTAGTGGACGATGTTTTGCGAAGTTTTGCGAAATTTCTAGCAAGGTGTGAAATTCTTCAGCTCATCCGATCGTGAGCTATGGAGCAAATAAAAAATAGGAATAATAAGTTCATAACCGAACCTAAACGCGTAAGATGACATATAAAATGAAGCAGAACATAGCGATAAAAGGCTATGGCAGCTAGCTCTCACTAATGCTCCGCTGCCACTCATAATTTTTAAACCATCCTGGTTGATCCAATTCAGGGCAATTAGATGAGTAGCCCCAACAACCAATTGTCTCCTAATATAATCGGCAAAAAGGAGAACCCCTGCATGACACCTTGTTCCTTAAAACACTTTCCCAAAACCAATACACAACATCCACATCTTCTAAACAAAACCGCAATAAAAAAAAACACGCCACCTAGAAATCAACACACATCGAAGTAATAAAAATATAGATACAAGCAAAAATAGGTTCAACGTAAAATAAAGTCGTGGCATAAAGTGATCTCAAATAAATGCGTCATTACGAACACATACAATTAAGTCACAGCATACACTTAACTCAGACGAATGCGCCATTAAGAAAACACATACACATAAATACAAAATAATCAAATAAGTAAAAAATAAAATAAAGGAAAAAAAAATGAGAAAAGAAATACCCTTAGAAATTAAAAGTAGTAGGAACCCTGAGACATCACCCACAGATTCTTAAACTAAGAAACAAGTATCATTTGGTCGTTGTCGTCTGTCTCTGTCTCTCTCTCTCTCTCTCTCTCTCTCTCTCTCTCTCTCTCTCTCTTGTGTACGCGCATTGGACGTCGTGCACAACACGTGTTCGTCACGTTCTGAGTTTCTGCTCGCGTGACAAATGAGTGCGGCCGAGTGAAACGGCCCTCTTTATAGCCGTTCCCCAAGCAGCCCACCCAACATCGGTACCCCGAAAAGGCCCTGCAGTGTCTGCACGACGCCGGGGTTGTTTTTTTAACTAATTTCAATTTTAAAAAAAAATAAAAAATTATGAGGGCATGAGGTGGTACGCAACACACCACTGCACCACCCTAGGCCCTCAAAACCCCCGACCCCCCCCCCAAACCCGCGAAATCACAGTTCGCGGAACTCGTTTATTCACGTCTAACGTGCGTTATAACTGCATTCGATGCAAATTCACCGCGCGTTGAATTTTTCAACGCGAAACCCACGTTGAATCGAAAATCGGATACATAGTCAAACCCTAACGTTGCACACTAATGCACGTAGGTCCAGTCCCACAATTTTCAAGCGCCAAATTTGACGATTTTTATCGCTCAAAATAATTCAATAAAAAATCTGAAACTTTGAGTTCATGTAGATTAGCTTGTGATCTCTCGAGGAAAAATATGAAAAAAAATAAAACAAAAAATTAGACCGTGAAATAAATGCCGCGCCGTTTCATTGCATTTTCCATTTTTGCCATCCTGGCACGTGTTGGCCAATGGGAAAAAAAACCCAACTTTCGCAATTGTTTGCGCTCAGAAGGATGAATCAACAACTCTGCAAATTGATGGGCCTGGAGATTTGGTCGTCATTTTTCGATGGAAAATATTTAAAATTTAAAAAAAAAAATGAAGGATCGTGATATAAATATCGCGCCAATTCATCCTATAAACAATTTTTGCTTCTTTTTGCTGCTCTCTTACGTGTCGGCCAACGGGAAAAGTACCCCGACTTCAACGATTTTTCCTGTCTAACACAATACCCCAGGAAGTCTGAAAATGGGAGGGTGTGTAGATTTCGTCTTGATCTTTCTATGAAAAATTCAACTGCGAAAAAATCATAGCGGCAATTCGATGCATGTACATTTTTGTTGCTTGCCGGTTCTCCCCACTGTGCTACCTGTAACCCTCATGAACCTTTGCTACCGGTCCCCCCAAATTTTGGACGGCGAGGGCAGTGGTGGTTTAGCTATTTATTAGGAAAACAAAATAAATTCACGGACACTTCTTAGGGGGTGTGGGTTTTGTGTATGGTAACGCATGATAAGGATCCAAGTCTGAAGTGTGGGGGGCAGGGGGCTGGCCCGCAAGTTTGAAAAAAAACTACTCTACGACACACACCCGCACACACATATGACACACAGACACACACACACATACATACAGGAGCACACATAAACACACACACACACACATACACACACACGAACGAACACACACACACACACACACACACACACACACACACAAACACACACACACACACACATACACACACACATATGTGGAGGGCAGGATATAGTATGACATGCAAAGAGCAGGGGAGAGGTGTATGGCGGGTGTCACAAATTTCTAAATATTCACCGCTGAAACGAGGGGCACACACACACACACACACACACACACACACACACACAAACACAAACACACACACACACACACACATACACACACACATATGTGGAGGGCAGGATATAGTATGACATGCAAAGAGCAGGGGAGAGGTGTATGGCAGGTTTCACAAATTTCTAAATATTCACCGCTGAAACAAGGGGCACACACACACACACACACACACACACACACACACACACACACACACATACACACACAAACACACACACACACATTCCAACGTAACTTCACCTCCCAAATGTTATAAGTAACAATAATAATAAATAATCTGGGTTACCAATGGTCCGGGAGCCGGTCGTCTCCCCCGGACGTCTCCTCGGACGTCCGTGGTCCAAGTCGTCTAGATTTTTGGACGACGGCTTTTTCGGGGGGAAAAAAGGTCAAAAAAAAAAAAAAAAAAAAAAAAGGTTGTCTTGCGCTGGTTTAGTCCCCCCCCCTCACCAAATTTGACGTGAAAAAGAGCACTTTTGTGAAATAATTAGTACTGGGGGGTGGGGTGAGGGGTTTAGGGGGGTGAGAAAGGACTTACCTCTTTCATCTTCTGCTGCCTGCTACATCTGCAGCACCTGCACCATGTGCAGCAGATCCTCAAGGTGCATGACGTTGTGCATGTGAAGCACCTTCTGCGTCTATAGGACCTCGTGCATTCCAAGGTAGAGAATCCCATTGATTCTTTGGCACATCGTGACGGTGCTCAATCATGTGAAGGCCTTTCACATAGGTAAAGAAATAGTACTTAAGGGGGCGGGGGGGGGGTGAGGGGGTGGTGGGAGGGTTTGCTGGTTAGGGCAGGTGTAGGTCTGAAAAAGAGCATACCTGTTTCCTGCTACCACACCACCTGGTGCATGTCATCTTTGCACAAGTGCCACAAACATACCACAAGTAACATATTTGCAGACGTACCTTCTGCCTGCAATGCGTACCACCTGCATCAGGTTATCTCCTACTCCATCTCCTCCTCCATGTCATCCTCAATCTCCTTGTACTCAATTTCCTCAATCTCCTCCTCCATCTCCTACTCCATCTCCTCCTCCATCTCCTCCTAGGCTCCTCCATCTCCTCCTCCATCTCCTCCTACTCCATCTCCTCCTCCATCTCCTTCTCCATCTCCTACTCCATCTCCTCCTACTTCATCTCCTCCTCCATCTCCTCCTCCATCTCTCCTCCTACTCCTTCTCCTACTCAATCTCTCCTACTCCGTCTCTTACTCCATCTCCTACTCCATCTCCTATTCCATCTCCTACTCC